CCCAGTTGGTTCTTTCTTCCAGTTATTTGTCTATCGTCAAGATGATTCCTCAACACAACTACGGGACTAGAGCTACTGTCAGATTGAGAATGGAAAACCAAGAACTACACAACATGGAAGTCAGAATGGAAATCGAAGAGTTGAAGTCAGGCATGGCCAAACTTACTGATATGATGCTAGTCTTGATTTCCAGAGGAGAGCCACCTCAAAGGACTGTGATATCTAAAATCCCAACTGCTGTTGTTGACACTCAACCTATCCACCATACATCTACTACATGTCTAGAGTTTGGGTTACCTCATAACTACTCTCCGCCTGTTGCAATTACCTCAACGGTTGTCTAGTCTGCCCGACCAATTTTTCAAGCTCCAGTTTTCACTAAATCTCAGCCAATCGTTCATACTGCTCCTCGTCAACCTGCTGCACAAGCTGCTTTTGGGAACCCTCTCTTTGAGTACCATGTTGCTAGTCCTCGAAGTATGAGTGTGATACAGTGGCAGAACCGACTGTTTATATTGGTTTTTCATTTTGTATTCGCAAATGTCGTGGTAAGAAAGAGTCACCACCGAATTTTCTTTTATCCAACAAAGGAAAGGGTTAAAAGAACAAAAAAGACCTTTTTCAAGATTTTCTGAGTAAGGGGGTAGATTATGGAAAGGGACGGTGTTAGCACCCTTTCAATCTATGGTTTTCCACTGGCTCTTAGGTACTTGCTCATTTTGAAAATTGTTTTCGTGTTTGCGTGTTTTGAAAAGTTTGCTTGCTTTATGATAATCCTTGTATCAGTCCTCAAGAGTGTTGATAAAGCGTTTTTTAAAAGAGTTTTGAAAGTGTGGTGTGAAAAAGATTGTTTTGAGCAAGTAATTAACAACTATCTACCTACTTGAAAAATATGTTCTTTTCCTCCTTTCCTTTAGATAGTTCTATCCTACTATTAGTGAGTAGGTAGCCCTATCGTTGGATGTTGAGGGACTATCGAAGGGACATTTACAGTCACTAAGGCAATTGGGGAAGAACTCTTAGTAATTGTCCTAAAGCTCTAAGATCACTTTTTTAACTGAGGCAACAGTCAAAAGGGTCATCGAGGGACTTGTAATCTCTTGAACTCAAGGACAGTCACTAAAAATTCTCACATTTCGAGAATTGTGATCGTTTTCGAAGGCAATCGAAGTGGGAGATACCCTAGGGGTGAGCATGTGCAAGTGTGCTTGATTCAGATATATTATCTTTGAATTAGGTTATGCTATATTCAATTAGTCGTTATCTTTTCATACAATCCTATTAATCTAAGAAGGTAATAGTACGGAAAATAAATTGCCGAAAATAAAATGCCTAAGCTATTACAAGGCCTTGGGGAAATTACAATTAATTTTAATGAAACTAATATATATATTTTTTGGTATTTTTAAAGAAAAAAGATTTAAAATTTAATCCTAATTTCTAGTTAATTTTAATTTAAAGAAAAAGATTAAAGTAATTAAACTAGATTAATTTACAAAATTAATTTTAATTATAAAAAAAAATTCTAATATTTTTTTTTGTGATTTTATTGATTTTATGATTAAAATAGAAATTGATTTTAAAACAATTAAAATAAAAAACAAAGAAATAAAAAAAAAACCAAAAAATAGCAAAATGGGCTTGTTGGTGTTATGAAGCAGACTGGGGGGTGTGGCACTGAATCTTTGTTAGGCCTAAATGAAGTCAGCCCAGGTTCTACGTGAGATCCTATGCTACCAGCCCCTGAGGGTTCACCATGGGTGCCTAGATATGGATCATCTGATCTGGATCTGATGAGATCTCATGGTGTGGAGGTGACGTCGCATGGGGCACGCGTTTGCATTTGTGATACTGGATCTGCAAATAACTTGTTAGAAAAATAAAAATGCCTGACATGGGTATCGAACCCAGGTCCTCCCCTTCATATGCATTCTCTCTTTCCACTCAGCCACCCTGTTCATTCGTGACTATAAATGAAACAAAACAATGTGAAAATAAAGCAAATGCTAAGTTGTTAACACGTGCCCTTCAGTGGGCCCCTGGAAGTTTGAACCGACCAATCAAAAATGGAGAGAAGGAATTCATATCTTATATCAACCAATGGGATGGATGGGGAACGCCATGCAAGCCTTTTACTCCAGTCAGGCCAGTCCAACAACCGGAGCCGGTGGTTTCCATCGTCTTCTCTAGTGGGATCACTTGAAAATGTGACCAAACAAGAAAACTAAATATATAGATTGACTTAAAAAAGTCCACTACTCACGAATATGGCCTCAAGAATGGCTAAATCCTCACTCATCGTAGGTTTCGAATCTAAAACCCTAACGAAGGTCATCCATGGCATAGTACGATTCCAAGCTCTATAGTCTCATGTAATACATCAAAAAGCCAGCAAACATCATTAGCAATACGAATATAAACTTATACAAGATTTATATGGCCTAATGTAAAATTTTTAGATCCAAGAATTTACCAAAAAGTTGAGATTCGGTTGGGCAATCTCAGGGTCTTTCAGGCGCGTGTGAGGAATGGCTTGTCTCCCTTGGAACCTTAGGAGGAAAGTTTGCTCCTTTATTTGGATTAAAAGGGGCTGGAACTGAGGTTTATGATCTTCACGATTTTCTTTGAAAATTTGAACTTTGCTAGGGTTTTTTGTAGTGGCTGCGTGTATCCCTATGGTCTGGAATGCTTGTGCATATATATGAGGCAATATTAGGTCAACAAATATGGAGGAATATTCACGCTTTCATGAGAAAATATTTCATTTCTAATTATGTGACTTTTGACTTGTTTTGGACTAAATTAAATCTTTTCCTCCCTCCACGAAATTCCCTTGATATAATCAGCATATCTTGTCCATTATTTGATGGAAAAATATCTCAAATCAAATTTTACATTATCTCCATTATTTCTTTATTTAATTTTGAATTTTAATAAATAAAATATCAAAATAAATAGCATAAATAATATAATAATGCATGAGTGGCCTTAGAGGTCATGGACCATGTTAGGAATAAGTTTCAAACATGAAAATATAGGCCCATTTGGAAAAATTCCAAGTTAGTTTAATATTTGCTTCATGCACTTTTCCAAAAATTGGCCAAATTTAGAAATGCATATTGTTGCACCCCAAAATTTGCCCTCCTAATTTCCTTTATTTTTGGCTTAGACTTTTGCATTCATCTGCATCTTTTTCATTAGGTCACTAACATGGCATACATTTCATTCAATATAGCTCTGAGGTTCAAAGTTCAGTGGTTGTGCGATACTAGGGTTTCATAGTGGTTAAGGCGCTCATATCCAATAAAGGACTTCTTCTCCCTCAAGCAGCAAGGCTATTATCTTCTGATAAACAACCGATTGTAGGTCATTCTGGTCAAGAACTCTAGGACGTGACCTGGCATATGTGGGCTTCGAATCATGACGTCCTTTCCTATAAGTATGCTTGTCATTTGATTAGGATTAATGACTGTGACATGACAATCGTCTACTCCTCAGTTAAGCAAATTAGGTTTTGTTGAATCATGGTTCAAAGATGTTTTATCTGGATATTTCTCTGTGCGTCTGAACGAGGAATCAAGATTGTGAGGGTTTCACATCAAGGGAATTCTTCTGTGATTCAGACTTTATCATCCATCTGTAAGATGTTCCTTATGACACTAATCTCAAGTTGAAATAACCGATCGCTAAGGGCTGAGGATTGAATTGTGAAGCGTGGTTCATGACCTAAGATATGAATTCATAGATTGCACCTTAACCAAGGCAATCATTGTCCTCATCATTGTCATTTGTTATCTGCAATGCGAGTAGGTTTGGATTGAAGTAGGTTTCTCATAGAAGAATTCATGCAAGGTAATTCAAGGTTCAAGGCATTCAAGGCAGGGTTTGTTCAACATGGCATACCTGGTTGATGGGCTTACAAGCTCTTATGAGACCTTGAGATGCATAATCATGGGCCAATTTCAAAGATATGTGGATAAGATCTGTTGACTTCGGTTAAAGTAAGCTTTGAAAAATTAACTTTGGGACCAAGGTCTCCCTTGAATTTTCATCTAATATGTGTTGGGACTTCGAGTTGCATTTGAAGAATGGTATGGTAAAGGAAAAGAAATATTGGTTCAGAAAAGAAAAAATTCATTAAAAATCAGGGTTTCTATTCATTGATAAAAGTTCAAGTAATTGAAGATCAGGGGAAATAAGGTTTCATATTAATCTTGATCATATTCTTTCATTATCATTTACATCCATCTTTGATGATTTAAGGTCGTCAATTAGGGAAGGACTTTGTCAAGATAAGAGACTTGTGGATTGAATCGTGGAATATGAGGCATGATACAAAAGGCAAGGTTGTGAATTTTTTAGGATCAAGATCTTATTGACTATTCAAATTATTTGTCATTCAAGTTGATTTGGGTTCAAGATTGAAGTTAGGAGTTCATTGAGAATGCAAGTGTGATTTGGATTTGAAGTTTGATTTGAGTTCAAGATGTTCGAAAGTGTTTGATTGGATTAAAGTTGGCAAAGAACCTTAAGTATTGGTCATATGAGTTTCTTGGAAGGTAAAGTACAGACTGCGAGGTCTTGTTTCAAGTCGGAGTTCATACGCATTACAAAGACGTTCATCGTTATTCCAGATTCAAGTTGATATGTGTTCAAAGTTTATTCGAACCCTTTCATTCATGATTCAAGAAAATACTATCCAATTCCATTCAATTTCATTCAAGTGTAACAATACCTTACAAGAAAATCTGATGCTTTCATGTCTTCAAGCATTTTTTCAAGACTTTGTCATTTAAACTCCGTCCTTAAAAATTCATCACCCAACATTTCAAGCTCAAAGGTCATTTACAATTCACACTATAAATTTCAAGTTCATCCAAACCAAACATTCATTACAATCCCATTACACCAATATTCTACAAAAAAAAAACTGTTTCACTAAATACACCAAAGTCAAACTATTATTCTACTCATCTTTTCCTCGTCTCTTCGCAATTTCAATGAGGAAGTTACTCATCCTTGCATGTGGAACCCACCTTGCTCAATTAAGAATGTTGAAGTTATACTATTTCATTTTTACAAGCCGCTTCATCCTTTGAGAGTTTTGATAACAGTTCTTCTCGTGGATGTGCAATGAAGTTGTTAGAGAAGATGATGTCAATTACAGATCCAATTACAGACTTGGTGCTCTTAAGTGTCAAGGCTTTGTTCCCGCCACCATTCCGAGCTGTGTTGGGTTGTTTTTCGTTTTTCAATATGGGCCACAGAGGTACAGCTTCGTCTGGACCTCCCATTGATTCCGACCACATCAATAGCTATAAATATGATGTGTTTATTAGTTTCAGTGGTGCTGACACCCGCAACACTTTTGTTGATCATCTTTATGCTCATTTAACTAGAAAGGGTATTTTTGCCTTCAAGGATGATATAAGGCTACAGAACGGAGAGTCCCTTTCGCCATAACTTATAGAAGCAATTGCAAACTCACGAGTTTCTATTGTTGTCTTTTATCCAAATTATGCCGAGTCAACATGGTGTTTGGAAGAAATGGCTACTATTGCTGAATGTCATAAATATTTGAAACAAACTGTGTTCCCTGTTTTTTATGATATCAATCCATCTCATGTACGAAAGCAGAATGGGGTGTACCAGAATGCCTTTGTTTTACACATGGAGAATTTTATAAATGATCCGAATAAGGTTGTGAGATGGAAGAGAGCTATGGTCGATTTAGCTGACATAGTTGGTTGGGATGTTAGGAACAAGCCAGAGTTTCGAGCAATTAAAGATATTGTTCAGGAAGTGATAAAAAAATTGGGTCATAAATTCTCAGGGTTTACTGATGACCTTATTGGGATACAACCTCGAGTAGAAGCATTACAAAGTCTTTTGAAATTAAGCTCAAAGGATGATGAATTCCGCGTTGTAGGTATTTGGGGGATGGCTGGAATCGGAAAGACAACTCTCGCTTCTGTCTTGTATGATAGAATCTCCTATCAGTTTGATGCATGTTGTTTTATTTAGAATGTAAGCAAAATTTATAAAGATGGTGGTGCTACTGCTGTACAGATACAAATCCTTCGGCAAACCATAGATGGAATAAATCTAGAGACATACAGCCCTTCTGAAATATCTGGAATTATAAGTAATCGACTATGCAGAAGAAAGATTCTTTTAGTTCTTGACAATGCTGATCTATTAAAGCAACTAGAAGATTTGGCTATAAATCCCGAGTATGCCATGACCGGACACCTGCTTGTTAAAAGTGATGTGTATAGCTATGGCAGAAGCTGCAGAAGCAATCAGACGCCCAAATCTAACTATTCAAAAAAAAAGATCATAACAAACTTAACAGTAGCCTAACAAACTCTAACTAACTCCTAACTTTCTAATTAACATCACCCAAGGGATCCTAACAACCTGAAAACAGTACAACTGCCAAACAAAAATCCATAATTCCAAACAGATTTTTCTAACTGCTTTCTAACAGATTTACTAACTTCCTAAACCATGACCAACTCCGAGCCCTCTATATAATGGAAATTCAGAGATTGCAGAAGAGGAGGAGATATCATCATTTAATTCAGAACCATTACAGTTATTCAATAACACCGAGAAAAGTCAAGAAAATTAGATATAGAAAAAAAACTCACCAACAAACCCTGAAATTCTCTATCCCCCGTCTTAATCTTCAACCACCTTTCAATCTTCCTCTTCAACTATCATCATCTTCAACCTTCTTCATCCTTTAATTCACATAAGAGTCACCACCAAAATTCCCTACTCTCTCTCCGAGAAAACTGCAGAATTTCACCTGCCAAAATCTCTTTCTTCTTTCTCTCTGCTTCATCTTCTTTGCAACTCTGCAGAATCTTCATTACACTTCGTGATTGCTTCAGGCTCGCTTCAATTTGTTGTTACCATCGCATCACCTTCCGTAATTGCCTCATCAACACCTTCAACCGCCTCAACTATCTTCAAGCAACAACAACATCACAGTGTCCTTTAACTCGGAATGCATCGTCCATTTTGCTGCATCGTTCATCGAACTCATCACAATTGCTACGATACAGAAAAGTGACGTAAACGCACGTAGGAACACAGAAGGTAGGAGAAGAATAGCACAAAATCAATGAAACAAAGAGAAGAAGAAGAACCGTGTGAATAGGTACAAGGCACAAATCTTCACCTGAGTTCGCAGCCACCATACCGGAGTATCAAAAGCTTCAACAGGTTTCGTTTTCTCGATTACTCCATATATCCGTGTATTTTCTTGATTGTTCGCAGTTGATTGTATATTCATAAACCATACATCATTGAGACCTAGCTCGAATTCGCGAAATCTGCGTCTTAGGGTTTCGAAGTTACTCCTTTGATCCAGCCATTTGAGAAGTTTCTGGAAGGAATTGATGCGAGATTCATGATCTAAAGGAAGCATAACGAAGGGTTTGTGTTCATTTCATAGATATTAAAGAAGGATTGGGACGGTGGCGGCGGCGATGAATCCGTCGGATTTCTGCGAGAGAGAAGAAGTTATCAAGGAAGTCTAAACGTCACTTTCTTTAACCCCGTACTTTAAACTAATGCGTTGTCGTTTTGTTATGTGCCAATTTGTTCCATTTTTTGTTATTTTATTAATGGAGGAACATAATTGGAAGAATAATAAAAAAACTGGTGATAAGGTTTGAATTGGGTATGGGCCAGACAACACTTTCCCCTTTGGGCCCATTAGCACTTTTTATATAACCTTGTGTATCACAAAAGAAGATTATTGGAGTCAAGCTGGGCCTAGAGAATCATTTTTATATACCACTTACTTCTTATGCAACGCACCCCCTCAATACTTTCTATTATTTCTTAACTAATTTTATGTGATATTTCTACATGGCTTTTTTTTTAATTGTTCACGTGATAAAAATTCAAAAATATTAGAATAGAATTTTACTTCTTTTATTAGCTGTTTGTTATTTTATCCATGTTTTTGGTAGATTTTTAATGCCAATTTTGTGTGAGATGTTGAAATAAAAGAGACTTGAGTGAGGAGCTTCATGAAATTTCAAAGCTAGCTAAGAGCATAATTTTCAATCACTCGCTCAAGGAAACTTTGATAGAATTCTCTTATGGCTTGCATGGTTATGAAGAGGCGACAGACCTTCTCCGTTCGGTATCGTCACAACTCTATTTTTACTCCTGCACTTTACCACTTTCTAGGTAGAATTCCCTCAAGATTCTAACTTTAGGTCTAATGCACGATAACATTAGATTTAGAAATAGGCTAGTCTTCCTGTGACTTTCGTCTTCCTGTGACTTTCGTCTTCCTGTGACTTTCGTCTTCCTGTGACTTTCGTCTTCCTGTGACTTTCGTCTTCCTGTGACTTTCGTCTTCCTGTGACTTTCGTCTTCTTGTGACTTTCGTCTTCCTGTGACTTTCTTTCCTCCTTTGCATATGCAGTTAAAACAAAAAACTTTTTTTTTACAAACTTCAAAAATACATAAAAATTTACTGACAAAAACCATGTCTTGGCTAAGTTTGAGAGATGATGAGCGGGTTTCTTCTCGACATTATTATTCTCTTGTTCTAAGCTTTGGTATGATTCAAGTCTCAAAGACTCATTTCATGAATAAGTAGAGACATGGCTAAAATCTCTCCCTTGAGATTAACTAGTTATTCTCTACAAGCGAAAAACACCAACAAACATAAAAAATCTTTTTTGCCCTCGGGCCTTTCTTTCAAACCCTTTTCAGAAGAGCATGTTAATTCACTTCTGTGCTGACGCGTAAGTCTCCAACGGTCGAGTTGCGGCAGAAGGAGAAATTAATGTTGTTCATTAAAAAATACCAACCAACAAAAACATATAAGCCGAACTACAGCTGCTCTGATTCCTTAAAAGGGATACGTAGGCATCGGGGTAGGGCCCGAACGAGCACAACTTTTATTTTCCCTACATTCTTTTCCCCTTTCTTTTGCATGCATTTTCCATTTAGCAGTAATAAACATTAAGCATAGATTGAACACACCCATAAGATAGACAACAAGATTGGATACCGTAGAGTACTACGGGCGTGTGGGGGTGCTAATACCTTCCCCTCGCATAACAGACTCCCTTACCCGATCTCTCGGTCGCAAGACCGTGACTTCTCCCTTCTCAGGTTTTCTCGATGTTTGCCTTTCCCTACATGTGGGATAAAAGACGTTCGATGGCGACTTCATTGTTTTGATGATTTTCCGCCGGTTGTTTCACCTGGCGACTTCACTGGGGATAGGTCGACCAAATGCTGGTCCATCCAGGAGTCGCTCCTAGCTCCTGCTTTCTTTTCTTTGGGTGTCTATTTTTATGCTTTTAGTTTACTCATTTGTACTTGTTTGCCTGAGCATAAGTTTGCATTGCATTTTATTGCTTTCCCTATTTATTATCTATTATGCTGGACTCGGTTTTCCATGTTGGGTGGGGATGTCACTATTGAGGTAAAAGGCCCAGTACCCAGGCCAGAGTGCACTAGGACACTAGGAATAGAGTGGGGGCATGACGGCTATAGGACGTGGTCCGATTAGTGCAGTCTTGTCATATACCACGCTCAGATGAGGTTCAAATGAATTACTATCGGCACCCACGTCTGTGGGTAAGCCCATAGTACTTTCAGGCGGACCCATGATTTTCGAGTTACCATTGTCTTACCCTGACCTAGTCTTCACCCGTGAGTGGGGAGGGATTTGTCATTACAGGTACAGTTGGTGCTATGTTCAAATGGTTACTCATGCTCAGATGGAGACTATGATCGGATGGCGATTAGTGGTTCTAATGATCATGTTATGGACTTCTGTCAATGACTTATACATATGGTGTTCTATTGGTGACTATATGGGTCTCAGATTTATTTATTTTTTCTGGATTCGGTATTCAGGATGGTTATCTAGTTATATTCCGGACCTTTGATCCTGATATATTTTACTTGGTCAGAGATTATACAACGGTTAATCATGGTACTTGGTTCCATTGTATGCTGAATTTGGTTCTGACCCTTTGATCCTGTGATATCCATATTATTCAGCAGATTTATACAGCAGTTATCCAGAGGATTGTACAATTGTTATGCTGAACTTTTGAACTTATGTCATTACACCTTGCATCATAACATGTTTATTTTACACAAAAAAGGAAGGTGAAAGATTATAAAATAAAAAAATGTTTGAACATGGCATTGCATCCGCTCATTCACCTCATGCATCCATAGCAGTTACTCCGAAGGTATTCAGAAAGGGGGAATCCTTATTCAGACTCGGTATTTTCTTTTTAGAGCTGCAAATCTTGACTTCTCGTCGCTTCGTGGTCAGATTCAAGATATGGAACAACTTCGTGGGGAATTGGACGAGATGAAAGAACAGATGGGATTCGTGGTGCTAGACATGCAGGATTTGGTCCGTGGACAAGAACTCCTGAAAGAAGAGAACACTCAGTTGAAGACTCAATTGAATTTGGTTATGGAAATTTTGGGGACAATGTTGAAGAAAGAAGATGTTTCTATGCCTGCCACAATAGGAGTTACCATTCCTCCCCATAACCTGAGGACTCTTGTAGGTCAGGGAGTATCTCCTCCGCAACCGTGCATTCAAGGACCCTCCCATCCGCAACAAGTTGTCACTTCCCGAGAGGACCCAAAAGGCAAAGTCCGTCAGCAGAGGCCAAAACAGCCTGAACGAAAATTTGATCCTATTCCAATGTTGTATGCACAATTTCTTCCTCCCCTGCTAGAATTACATTTGGTTAAACTCCGAATTTTCACTACACATGAAAAACGCCCTCATGGCTTTGACGACCATGCTAGGTGCGATTTTCATTCTGGGACACCTGGTCATGATACTGAAGACTGCGTAGCTTTTAAGCACCAAGTCCAGGACTTGCTTGATGTAGGGACAATTCTCTTCACTCCCAAAGGTCTGAGTGTGAAAATCAATCTTATGCCAACCACTACAAAGAATAGGGCTACGCCTTCTCCTCTTCAAAGTTCTATCTCACGATCGGAGTCACGTCATCCACAACCTATAATCCCGGAAAGCTCTCACCAACAGTCGTTTGTAAGTTGTGGAAATCGGTT